TACAGTATTATTTACATCTTTTTTTATTTATTATTAATTTAGTTCGAATCTAATGAACTTGAATCATTTTTTCTTGTGTCTCTTTTTTCTATTCCGATCCTTTTTTTTTGGCACAACTCAATAACCTTTTTTTAAATACTCTTCATAACTGAATATGCTACTTTTAATTAAAATTTATGCATGTGATCTGTTTACAAAAGTGTAAAGTACTACGATTTATAATATTTAAAGTAATACAAAAGTCATAATTACAAAAACAAATTTGTTGACGAAAAATTTGATATTGTTATTTCATTATATTTTCCAGATTACGATGATAGTTGTGATACAAAATAACATAAAATTCATTAAAAAAAATAAACAATTCAGCGTACTCTCGAGTTCCTAATAAACGTCTTATGAACTTTAAAGGCCGTTTTCCACAAGACGAAATATTCGCACGAAGCGAATTTTTTCGCTTTGACGAAAAAATTTTGATTTCCACTTGACTCTACTTTTTTTTCGTTGTCAACAATAAAAATGGCAGCAATAAGTTTATGCAACATGTTTAACTAAAAGCAGTTATTACTTTTTTAGCATACTTTCTACATTAAAGCATGTGAAAATTTCTTTCCGTGTATTAATATTAACATTTCTTTCTTTATATGTAAGATGTGATATCATTTTGTAATATAATCATTTAATATAAGGTTTTTTTTACAAGAAAGTATAAGGAAATAAATGCTTAATTCTGATATGAACATTTCTATTAAAAATCTATTACTGCAAAAACGAACAGCAGGTTTAACTCTATGTAGGATTTTTCACAAAAAGGTTTATCTTCGTGTGGCCACTTGAAGATAATCATTCTTATGAAGAGTAACTTTCGTAATTGACAGTGTGAAAATTTATATTTGTAAATTCTCATATATAAATCTGGTCATTTTTTTATATAAGCTTTGTTCCTTGTTTGATGAATTTACTCATGCTTGCCAATTTTCAGAGAAAATTCATATAAATTAATAAGAACGCAAAGTTAAAAATTTTGTTTTTTGTAACTTCAAAAACATGTTTTCGCTTTTTCTTTACTGTTGACATCACGTGATATAATATTTAAAATTTGATTTGTTTTTACTTATGGGGATTCGCAAAAAGTCGAAATGAATCCGACTTTTTTTTTCGCTGCAGCAAAACGCTGTGGCGAAAAAAAATCAGGATAATCGCCTAAAATGTTTAATCTGCGCATGCTTATCGACGAAAAAATTCGCTTTGCGCGAATTTTTCGTTTTGTGGAAAACGGCCTTTAGTTTATTTCTCAACAAAGCTTTGGTTTTAATTATAGGATTTAATATGCTGCATATAAGTTTTATACTTTACTTTTTATATAAGTATAAAATTTATATCAGCATATTAAATCCTATTGAAATTATGATAATACAGCCTAACCCTACCCTAACAGCTGTTAGAAATGCGCTTTTGACCGCAAGTCAAATGTGCATTTGACTTGAATTGCATAATTTGCATGCTGAATAAACGGGTGGGTGGGAATTTTAGTCAAAGTCTAATAAACGGGGGAAGGGGGAAAGTCAATACACGGGTGTGGGAGATTTTTTTGAAATTTAATAAAGGGGGGTATGTTTAATGTCTTCTATCTTTATTAAATTTCAGAATAAATCTCCCCCCACCCGTGTATTAACCCCTCCCCCCTCCCCCGTTTATTAGATTTTGACTTAAATTCCCACCCACCCGTTTATTCCACCCCCGCTGTATTCGCCACTCGAGAGTACTATACTATTTATATTATATACACGTATTATATTATATTATATAAACATATTATATATATATATATATAGAGTATATACGAATTATTCTATTACCATTGAATGTTTAAAGTTAAATATATTTATATATAATATATTGATATATTGAAGATTTAACAATAAAGATACATCATACAAACATTTTAATATATAATATGCTGAAGATTTAACAAATACATTTTACTTACGTTTTTAGTAGAACTTTAGAATGCTGTCCATAAAATAAATATTTTAAAAATTAGTTTTAAATACAGGAAGAGTAAAAGAAGGATCAAAATTTGGTAATAAATAGGTACGCGCGTGTCCAATGAGTCACGGCACCGATTATGTAATCAAAATCTTCGACCATTTTATCAAAGCGTGCTTAGCGTTTGAGTTGTAAGAATGTATTTTGTTGTGTTATTTTTTAAGATTTTATATCAGCATAGACTTTTTTTGAAAAGTGGAAGAGTTAAACTTCATTTTTGTATAGTTTTTTTTTGAAGTTACAACCGCTTTTATTGAATTTACTTTTCTTAAAAACTTTGTTGTTGATCACACGTCAAATTAATATTGAAGGGATGTTGAGAACATTTTTGAAACTATTGAAAAAAATTTAAAAACTTATTTTTTACGTGCATACCAAATTTTATTGAAAAAGATTATGTAACAGACATCTAATTTTTTGTAGCAGAATATGTACCTAAGTTAAAATATTGGAAATAAAGCAAAATATTGCTCTTCTAGCAACAAAGTTCCATAACAAAACTACCGTTAGCCGAAACTGATAATTTAAAAAAGGTCGCAGTTTTTTTTAAGCAATCCTTGTAAGCAAATTTTGTCACCTAAATGAGCATAACTTTTTGTAAAATTGTTATTTTGTTATGAAATTTTCACTATTGTAATGCTGATTTTAGCCTCTTTTCAATGATATATAATAATCAATAATAAAAATAGTTTAAAATTTATACACACGTGCCTAAATATTATTTTATTTCAAAAATGAGGTGCAAGATTTTGAGATTTAACAATCTCAAATTAAAATAATTAAACAACAAACAAAATGAAACATCAAACAAAAATATCAAAAAGTTGACAAAATATTTTAAGTTAGTGTTACTTGATTTTCCTGGATTGTTATGATTTTATTAAGTATTTTAAAATTTAAATATTGTTAAAAGATTCTGTCAGTATGTAATCTATTAATAATTAGTAAAAAAAACATTGACCTAAAGACATTGTATAAAAATTAAGCTCATTGCTGCTGTGTTTTTTGTAAAGATGCGTTGTTTAAAAAAGTAATTCTACTATCAAAAATAAATGCTATTTACTTAAATCTGTAAAATTTTGCTTCATTGCCACAATTGAGAGATTTTTTGAGTGCAATTAGAGAGTCAAACAATTCTTGGACAATTCTACTCAAAAACTGAAAACTTTTTTACTTCTCCTTGTAATTCACAAAATTTTGGTATTCATCATATAAAATATAAAAAGTAAAAAAAAAAAAACAATTTTGCAACGTCTGTCAAAGTTTTAACATCTACAGATGTTAGACTCACACATTGTATGTGTACAGCAAAAATTTATTATTATATTATTTCAGTTACAATATTGTGACACAGATATGATGTTTCTATCTTATGATGAATTGCAATCAAAAGTGATACGAATACCACTAGCTTATTTTGAACCTGATAATCTCACATCATCAGTTATATTATTACTTGTACATAAGCAATAATATAACTTTTAAGTGGTCTGTACAGTTTAATTTAAAGTTTATGTTCAATACTTTAACTTTATTGCTCATCTTTGTATCCATTTTTTTTAACTAATTAAAGTTTGAACTTATTTAATTTTTCTATTATCTTTTATTATCTGTTGATCTTATAAGTTGATCTTATCTGTTGATCTTATAAGTTGATCTTATCTGTTGATCTTATAAATTTTCTTATCTGTTATCTTATAAGTTGACAATTATAAATTATTTTTATTCTGTAAATACTTGTGTTTTTATAGTGTCTAAAATGTTATTATTACTTATAAGTTATTTTGCAATATTAAATTTTTGAATCTTTATTAATATTGAAAGTTAATAAATGTAGTGGTTTTATATAGTAACTATATGTTTAGGGAACATGGATTCAGTTGCGAAAGTATCCTTCAATGTTGACAGGAAAAATATATACTTTTTACTGCACAAACTCAGGGAATAAATACTTGAAAATAGGTGAAAATCAGGGAAAATGGATTTTCAAAACTGCCATGAACCCTGTGTATGGAAATAATATATATTATCATTTTTGGAAATTAAGGTGGTTTTTTAATTTAATAATTATTACCATAATAATTTATATTATTACACGTAAAACATTGTTTTTAAAATACATAAAAATAATTATATATTAATAATAAAGGTGTTAAGTTCTTATAATAAATGTGTTTTATTAAATATGTATCAATACTTGTATGTTTTAGTATAAACTCTGTTTATTGATTTGGTTAATACGAAATTGATTCCTAGATACAATGTGCTGACATAGAAACAAGGTATTGGAAACATATATACTTCAGTTATAAACTCAATTCAAAGACAAAATCTAAACTTATAATCCTAGATTAAATCGATAAGCCAAAGATAAATTTTGAATCTTGGATTAACTTGATTCTGATGAAAAGATTGTGTAGTTTGCTAAAGAACAACTTCAAATATATTTTAAATATTCTTTTTTACATGTTATAAATTGAAAATATATATATATGTATGTATATATATATATATATATATATATATATATATATATATATATATATATATATATATATATATATATATATATATATATATATATATATATATATATATATATATATATATATATATATATATATATATATATATATATATATATATATATATATATATATATATATATATATATATATATATATATATATATATATATATATATATATATATGTATGAAGGTTCTGTAATATTTTATATATACAGTGGTGTTGTAATATTTAAATAAAAAAGTTGAGTATAAAAAGACAATTTATTTCTCATGAGAATTGTTGTGTTGTTAATAAAACACTGTACTACACTAAAATATATATATTCTTATAAGTAAGCCATCTTTAATATACATTTTTTATAGCCACGTATGTTTATATATATCAAAACATTGTTCCTATTTGTCCGCATATGACAAAGGTTCACGGCTTCACATCCCTGAAACGTATTGGCTTTTGCCCCCTTGTCGACCGAGTACTTCTTCGATTCTGGTTAGGTTCTTTAGTAACACGTAGTTCGGACATATCAGATTTATCACTATTGCATGGATCAATTTTTTCATTACTGGTATGATCATACCGCATACTGTCTTCATTATTCATAAGTATACTAGGCTCATTTAGGCGTTTGTTTATTTGGTCACAGTGTGCTAACGTACCCGAAGAGTTATTCCTTAATATGATCGCAGTGTTTAGACCTGCCTGAAAGATGAATGAGGCAGGTTCAGGTTTGGAATCTGGTTTTTGACGGTACCATAAAGGTGTCCCACTTTCGAAACTCATGGTGAGAGGGGATCTCAACTGCCTTCCCATCATCTCGGAAGGACTCCTTGATCTTCCTGCATGAGGTATTGTTCTGTAACTTAAAAGCATTCTGCTTAAATATCCGCATAATAAACCTTTGTCCGGTGAATAAGCTCTTAAACCCATCTTAACTGTCTCTACCATTCTTTCAGCTGCTCCGTTCGATTGAGGATGGTAAGGTGGAGTCTTATAAGGTACGCAACCTACTTTCTTTAGCCACTGGTGTAAGGTGGTATCATAAAATTCCGCAGCATTGTCGGATACTAAAACCTCTGGAACTCCATTTCTTGAAAAAACACTTTGTAGTACTGCCTTTACAGTGGTCGCTTCACGGTTATTTACCTTAATAACTTCCGGCCATCCAGAAAAAGAATCTACTAAAATCAAAAACAGTCCGATACCCTGTACATGTGCATGATCCATATGTACTCTACACCAAGGTTTATTTTTACTTGGCCATGTATGTAATGTCCTTTCCTTCTTCACTTTTATTTCGGCACATTTTTCACAGTTTTTCACATATTCTTCAACATCTTGACAGTAGCCAGGCCACCAGGCTTCTAATTTTAATCTACATCGCGTTTGCATTATACCACAATGTATATCATCATGGATCGATTTGATGAAGATCTTTCTCATTGTCTTAGGAGGTACAATGAGGTCACCATTACATACAATTCCTTTTTCGATAGTCAGTTTATTCCAAATAGATTTATAGGGTCTTTTTGTTACCGAGCATCTGCTCCAATTATTCTTCCTAATTCTGGTTTTGATGTCCATCAATACCCTATCATTTTCTGTTTCTTTTATTATTTGCTCAAGGTTCACTATATCTGACTCGACTAAGCGTATAAATGTTTCTTGGTCTTTCTCTTCATATTGTGGTAGAAAGGACAATCTCGATAATGCGTCAGCATGAGGAATGTTTTCTCCCTTCTTGTAGCTTATTTCGTAGTCAAATGCCATCATTTGTATGGCCCATCTTAAAATTCTAGCGGATGTGACTTTGGGCAATTCTTTGTTACTATCAAATATAAATTCTAATGGCCTGTGATCTGATATTAATTTGAATTTTCTACCCAACAGAAAATGCCTAGCTCTGCGAGCAGACCATACAATAGCTAAAGCTTCTCTCTCAATATTAGAATATCTTGTCTCAGCGTCTGATAAAGTTTGTGAGAGATACAATACCGGGTGGCCATTCTGTGAAAGTATTCCAGATATAGCTTTCTCGCTAGCATCTGTTGTTAACTCTAGATCTTGGTTGATGTCATAAACCTTCACTACGGGTTCTTCACAAAGGTTTTATTTTAGCAATTCAAATGCCTGTTGATGCTCCTTCCTCCATTCGAATGTAACTCCTTTCTTTCTTAAATTGTTTAAAGGTAAAAAATTTTTAGCATATTTATCAATGTGTCGACCATAAAAGTTTATTAATCCTATAAATGACTCGAGTTCCTTTTTATTATTAGGAGGACTTATTCCAAGTATTTTGCTGACTAAATTCTGATCTGGGGTAACTCCTTTTTCTGACAGTTCATATCCTAAAAATGAAAGACTTTTTGTTTCATTCACTGACTTTCGTTTATTTATGCTCATTCCCGATTCCTTCAATTTGCTCAATATTTTGTTTAAATTCGATTTGAGTTCTTCAGCATTTTTAGCACCGACACATATATCGTCTTGAAATATAATCATATTGGGAATAATATCGCCAACAACAGATTCTATCGCTCTTTGAAATATCGCACTTGCAGTCTTAATTCCGAAAGGTAAACAGGTCCATCTTAATAATCCAATAGGGGTATTAACTGTTGTTATTTCTTGTGCCTCTTTGTCCATCTCAATTTGATGATAAGCTCCCTTGAGATCAATTTTAGCAAAATATTTCATCCCTGCCATTTTATGAAATACGGTCTCAATGTTTGGGATGGGATATGAGTCTGAGCATATTTTTTGGTTAACACCTATTTTGTAATCCGCACAAATGCGTAAATCTCCGTCTGTTTTTCTAACAACCACAAGCGGTGAAGCCCATCTGATTCCACCAGGAGGAACCCTTTGAAGCAACCCTTGCTGTATCATTCCATTAAGTTTATCTACCACTAGTGGTCTTATATGGATAGGAAGAGGTCGAGCTTCAAAATAAGTTGGTTGTACGCCGTTTTTTAACAGAATATTTGCTTAGTAATTAATTAAACGCCCATGAACAAGAAGTTCTATACTATTTACTAATTTTGTGGCGTTGATATTTAATACATCCATACCAATTAGACCATGATTTTTTGTACAGTCTGCAACAATAATTCGTACGATATTCATTTTTGATTCGGTTTCCAAAGTTGCCTCAAATTCGCCTAGGACTTTTATAACTGTGCCATCAAACTGTTTCAGGCGAAGGTAGCATTTTTGTAATTTCGGTTTAGACATTAGTTCCCAAAAATTTTTTGGAATAATTGTGACTTGACTTCCGGTTTCAACTTGCATTTTTATATTGTAGTCATTAATTTTTACACTAATCTCTGAGTTTGTATCATTCATGTTAATGGAATACACACTAGCATCATCGTTCTCTATTTCCTTTACTATTTTTTCATATTTAGTGTTTGCTTTGCATACGTTTTTAAAGTGGTTCAGCTTTCCACATTTTTTACAACTCTTCCCAAATGCTGGGCATTTCCTAGGTGGGTGTTGAAGGCCACAATACTTGCATTTAATCATTCTTTCTTTATTTTTATCAATGTAATTAACTGAAGGAAGGTCTATGCTGTTTTCGATGTTGTTTTGTATACTAAAACAGGATATTTGCTCCAGTTGCCTGATAAAATCAATATATGCTCCTAGTTTAGGCGATTCTCCACTCTGTATCATTTCTAGAGCTTTAACTCTCTGATCAGAAGATTGGAGACCATCAATCAATCTCATTTGAATCAAATCATCTTCCGCACTTTGGCCATCTCTTCCCAATTTTTCGAAGTTGTGAAAAAGCGTGAAGCTTCGCGTAATCTTTGTGCATATGATACGATATTTTCATTGTTTTGCTGTTTTAATGCTAAAAATCGAACTCTTTCAGCAATAATTAGTCGTTTTTGAGGTCTCAAATGGGACATAACAACAGTTTTAAAATCATCGAACATCATATTTTCTAATTCTTCTGGATATACCATAAGAGAAATCTTTTTAACTGCTTCAATCCCTGATTTTGCCATAAATAAATCTGTTATCTCATAGCTACCGTTTATCTCATCTTTTAATTTCTTTGAACGTGCGGAAGCTGAAAAGCATCTAATCCATGCTTCTGCATTATCTGGGTCATCTAAAGTCAAATTGTCCCTTACTTGTAGCGCCATTGTTGTGTCGTTAATAAAACACAGTACTACACTTAAATATATATGTTCTTATAAGTAAGCCATCTTTAATATACATTTTTTATAGCCACGTATGTTTATATATATCAAAACATTGTTCCTATTTGTCCGCATATGACAAAGGTTCACGGCTTCACAAGAATATCAAAATAAGATATCAAATTTTAAGGTCAGGGTGACATCAATGTGTGATTTCATTTTGACATAATCATGATATTATGAACTTCTCAAAATATGGCATCTCATTCTGAGTACAGGATGATATCAACTTTTAATATCATAAGGTTCTCAAATTATGATATCAAATTTGAGCTCAAATTGATATAACTGTTTGATTTCATTTTGATAACATATTGATCTCATAAACGTATCATGCTATGATATCATAGATCTCACAGTATGAGATCAATATGATATAATTATGATATCAAATGGCTGACTGGGAAGTAATTTGACCATTTTTTGTAAATTAAGAAGTTATAACAAAATTAACAGTGTATTTATCAATGAAAATATTAAAAATTTTATAAAAAGTCAATTTTTTTCTAAGTGGCAATCTTTGTTCCTGATACACAGCGTCAAATTTTGCTGAAATTTTCCCAGATGGGGCGCAGCTCTCCTACGAAAATTCGATTCCATTCCCTGGTCAAAGACTGTTTGAGAGCTTCCTCACTTTTGAAGGGTTTGGCACAAGTCTTTGCCTCAAAAATTAACCAAACACTATAATCCAAAGGGTTGAGACCACACAAATATGGTAGCCATTCTTGAGCCGAGATTAAATCAGGAAAATTGGCCTTGCACCGTTTCTGCGTTGATTTGGCTCAAAAAGACAATGCAATCATCATGCCGAAATGTCCAAAAGTTGTTTCCAAAGTGTTGTTGAGCTCAGGGAAGTACCACATTTTCAAGAATAATATTTCTGTAAATATATCTTTCTTGATTTTAACGTCAAAATAAAAAAAATTAGGGGAGAATTTAAATATATAACATATTGAAGAGCAAAATTAAAAAAATTATAAACTCTACATGTGATCAAAAAACCACTCCCTTTTTTTTTGTCACCCTGTGTAACTATTCTTTGCTTAGTTGTTGTTGCTTTTTTGGGGGGAGGGTTAGGGGTGCAAAATACCCAACATGACGCTATATTAGAATTTTAAAATAGATTAACCGATATCTTCGAGCTTAGCCATTTTTAATAATGCATACGTATGAAACACTTCGCACAGAAGCAACAACTATTCTGCGTTGGATCTGTCAGAAATTCTTGCCCACTTTTTTATATCGACTATCCCTTCTAAAAAAGTTATCTGTTAAAAGTTATCTGTTAAATTTAGGTTATTTTTTATACATAACCCAAAACTTTATCTCTAAATTCTCAATTTTCTTCGTTTTTCTCGTTTTCATTTAGAGAATGCGGCAATTGTGGAAATCGATTACTTTTTAAAACTATAAAAACTTCATTGCCTTTTTTTAAATCAAATCCAAGCAATGTATTGTTAATTTTATATGTTAGATTAATCAATCAACGCACCATGGTTTCTGAGACCCAACTTTTTGGCATAAATTAATAACTTTTATTTAAACACAAAATAACTAATGAATTTTTTTTCTTATGATTTATAAAATGTACTAAACATGTTATAACTAAATTTTGTATGATTAAAATATAATAATGATAGATAGTTTAATGTTATATTATTGTTATACATAATATATAACTCTGTACCAATATCATAACTTTCTACTTTCGGTTTATACACATGAAGGTGTAAGTTGTTAAAAAACCGTTTTTGTAATTCTTTTTTTTTTACATAACAAGTTTTTTTTTTATATTAGCATCATGTATTAGACAAATCGTATCTACATGATATGTGACGATGCATTTCTTTTTTAGAAAATTATGGGACCTAAAAAGAATCATCTTTTTTATAGTGAAAAATTATTTAGCCAGTAACTTTACATTGCCAACTCGTTTAAATATTGAATGTAGAAATGGACAACTAGTAAATAGATCCAAATTCTATGCACGCAATTTTTCAAGGAATTCTAAACAATTTATTAATATCTGCAACATGCTCTTTGCATATCAAAAGTTAATATATGTTATGCCAAAACTATTGCATTCAACCACAAGCTCAAATAACATTGTTTCGTGTTCTCTTTTATCTTCTCAGCACAGCAGTGTTTTATCTGTATCAAATATTAATCACTTATCTCCTTCTTTATTTTATCCCACTTTAATAATAGAGAACCCAAAGGTCCGAGGTTTGACGCCAGCTCTAGCCCGATAAGCGACATTGGTAAGGAAGGAGGCGTGAACTTCTAGTTAAATGCTCTCCAGCGGTGCTTTGTGATAATACCGTAAGGACTTCTGGGAGCACCTAAATAACCAAAAAAAAAAATAATGATAACCTCTTCTCATGAACCACTACTACCCAGGTTGAGAGCTGATCAGTTGAATCCTTGGAAAAAAGTTTTGCGAAAGAGGTTAACCGTTTTGGCAAAGAAAATGCCAAATAAAAAACAAAAACATAAAGATCTTTATGATCCTCGATCATAAAGATCATATCAATTATTTAGATTCTCGAGGATCTAAAAGAGTTTAAAGAAAAGAAAAAGGCCCGGCCATACCAATTTAAGTATCTAAATTAGATCATTGCTCGCAAAGAAAAGACAATCCTTCATCTTCGAAAATAATTAAAGGAAAAGTATTAAAATTTAGAGTTAAAGAAACTTCAAAATCACATTTTTATTTTGAAACAACAGTTGACATCTACCCAAAGCAGCTTATCTTATCAAAAATCTATGTTAAGCCAACAACTTGCTGATAAAAATTCTCAAATTCTTGTACTGCAAAATGACATACTGATTTTAAAGAAAAAAGTGGAGCAAATGCAACAAATAACACAAAACACCAAAAATGAAAAATGCTACTCAGCAGATATTAGAGCACTTATATATGACATGCTTGCGTGCCAAAATCCTACTCATAGTGTTACAACTCCGCTCAGTAAAATTAGAGAACACACTGGCTATCGATTTAGTCACATTCCGCATTGCACAACTGTGGAAAAAATGATGCATGAGCTAGATGTAATTTCAGACTTACTGACTGCTGAAATAGCTTTCTCAACAAAAAATCTGACAGTTGTTTTTGATGCAACAACAAAGGAGAGTGTTCAAGTGAATGTTGTGCGCTTAACAACAGAATCAGGATGCATTGTTGAAGCTATTGATCACATAACAAAACCTATGTTGAAGCTATTGAGTGACATTACAAAATCTATTGATAATCTTCCCAAGTTATATAGTGACTTCTACCAGCTAATTCACTGATGTGTGAAGTACTATTATTGGAAACATAACTAACACAATGAGTGACAGAGTAGCAACAAACCATGAGACAGTTACCAAGTTAAACCTTGTTTGGCAGAAATTATTAAATAAACTAAACTGTCACCTTCGCCCCTTGGACACAATGACCAGTTCGTGCAAGTCTTCGCTCAAAGCATTAGAGACCTCAAAAGGGAAACTTTTTGAAAAAGACAGCATTGCAGCAAATATTGTTTTACAGCTAAACAAACTTTGCTATAAGGATGCAAAAGGTACATGTATAATCTTAATCCCACTTATTTACTTTAATAAAATGTAATTTTGTAAATTTAGATATACAAATCTAAAATCTTTTTTTTTTATTAGCATATAAATGTTTCTTAT